TTGTGTATTCCACGAAACCTATGATTGGTCTTTATTTTTTTTAAATCTGTTAGTTAATGTAAATAATTATGTGTTAACGCTGTTGACTTAAAAAAAAAAGATTTAAAAAATTTTAAATAGTCAAATAAATGTTAGCTAACAAACTTCAAAGATCGTAATTTCGTTATTAGCTATTGAATAAACGGTTTTCGATTTATTCCGTTTTATTAATAATGTCCAAGCTTTATTTAGGTAAAATATTCTAAAATATGTATATTTGAAGAAGGGTTTATTCAAATAGTATGATGTCAGTCTCGACTGACACTGCAAATATTAAAAGTTAAACAGTTCATATTAAGAGCACTTCCTGGCTTAATATTGTACAAAAAGCTTTGTTAGTTTATTTTAAATGAACATTTCAACTTAATTTTATTGTGAAACTATCTTAATGAAACAAAAATGGCATTTAATCATAATAAACAAAGTTGATAACATTTGCATTATCCTCCAAGTTCGTCTTATCTTCTATCTGGGGAGGGCCGAGATTCCCTTCATTGTGGGGAAATCGCACGATTCTGACTGCCATCACTGACTAACAGTCATACAGCACCAGAGAAAATTTACATCAGCCGGTTTAATGTCGCGAAGCAATTTCATTTCGTGCAAGGAACGGGGCAAAACACGTCCAGCCAGCTCTGAGATTCGTAGTCCTGTAGTAAGCCTTCACGTGCGAGACCACGTAGAATGGTCACGTCAAATCGGTAACGATGCGTCGGGTGATACCGCAGCAAGACAAATGTGTCGCATATTCTGGAGGCGTCGTCTGCTATCTCAAAACCTTGAATTTCCCATTTTCTTTAAACACGTATAAAAAGTGAAGTAAATTGGTTTATTGTGCACTCTATATTGAGGCTGTTTTGTTTTGTAATTAACTTCGAAAAGCTCTGTAATGTTTTTTTTTCAGTCGGAATCCATTTATTAAACATATGGTGTGCTTGAAGTATTAAGTTTTAATTTTTAATATTAAATCGATCAAAGAATCAGTTGCAATCTTAAAACATTGGTGTGCGTTAAATTATCTAAACCTAAAATGTTATACTTAATTTTTTTTCGTATGTTACGTAATATTTGATACATTGATGCCACATTTTTGAATGTGTATTTTTTAACCTAATTCTTATTATTATTCATTTTCTCTGCTGTTTTTTTTCTTCATTTTGTTATAGAATTAATTAACGTACATGTAGGAAATCTTAAAAAGTTTTTTTTTGTTGGACAATTATTATTAAGCCGTATCATTCCTCCTAATCTATGTACCGCTAATCCTTTTCGTCAGGTCTCAAATATGAAAAGATGACACACGAGTCGGTAATAATGTCATTTGGTAAACAATAGCTTTCAGCAGAGAACAGCACAGATAAAATTGAGAAACAGGTAAATATTAGCCACCGTTAGAAGCAATTTACCACTTTTATGGACGTTAAGTGACTTCATTACTTGTTTGATTTGCATGCATAGCGGCATAGCCTTATGCATATTAAGTCCTAAATGGAATATATTAATAAAAAATTTCAAAAGCGTGCACGTTCAAAATTAAAAGCGAATTTAATTTTATTTTGCATTTAATTTTGCATTTAATTTTGATGGTTTATTTTGCCGTTTTATGTGTTTATTAAAATCCCCTGAGTTTCTCGCTAGGTCTTCTTAGTGGATCGCGATTCCGGTGGTAGATTCTACGAAGCACTGGTCTTGCTAGGGCTAGGTATTAGAAAATTCTCTTAGGTTGAACCCGTGAGCCCACCTAACAGTTCGCGAGAAGCTGCAATAACCCCATAGGCTACCAGTGAATAATAAGTAAGTAAAAAAAAGTGTGCGAAAATGAAACCTTATTTGAGTTGCTGTTAGCACATCAGGGGAAGTTGCTACTATAGTACTATAAAATTATCCGGATCTGGAATGAAACCATTTCCTCGGTGCTTCCTAAGCACTATGATGTGTGCCTCACACGGGTCTTGAGAGAAATTTCCGTTGTGACCTGTTTGTGGTGTGGTCATGTCCGACAACGATTGCTTGCCATCTATTGAATCGTATACTAATCTATCTATTAATACTATAATAATATTAAAGAAATGACAGACAGAGAGAGAGAGAGAGAGAGAACATACTTTATTGCACACCAAAACACAATTAATATCAGAAAACAGTCAAGAAGCAGATAATGCGGTCTTATCGCTAAAAGCGATTTCTTCCAGACAACCGTTTATCTCTCTCTCTCTTCAATCGGTCCCTCATTGCTGACGATCGTGACTCCGTTTGATTCCGTCAACTAGCTGTCTCCAATAAATTTATATTATTATATTAATAGTTTAATTACCCGAAATTCTGGACAGATAAAGATACAGTAGGTATGTTGCGGTGTACTATTAATAATTCATTCAACTTAGCGATTCATAAGCCTAGTCATTTAGTGTTCTGAACTTAGGAATAAAACTTCTAATTGTCTCGCTCGGGTTTACTTCAAGTAACAACATGAAAAGTTTGTAATTTATTGTGTCATGCGCAATACCATCAGAATTTTTTAATTATCCTGTCATCCTTTTTTTGTTTAGTCGCGTCCTTAAATACGGAAATGACGCTTCACTGTTGGCCAAAGTAATTAAAAATGCTTTTACTATTTATACTCAAAGTTGTATGTAAATTACGAATTTCATAACAGACTGAACGTCTGCATAACTTGCATTAGAAATTTTAAAAGATAAACGTGATGCACATAATACTATGTTTACTAATTAAAATAAAATTAATTCATCACATAAAATGACTTTGTCATCTTTATTATGCAAGGAATACTTTCTCCAAACCTTAAAACATCTGCTTTGGCTGTATATAGGACATACAAATATTCACAGTACGTACGTATAATATATATTAAACCAAGGATTTAGAGGATACGGAACGTGTCAACTGACAACAAAGCTATTTAGATAAGATGAGGCTAACATTTCAATATTAGGTGCCTAGTTTTTAATGAGAAACAAAACATCGATTTTATAAATAAATAAATTTTAGATAGAAAGCAGCGTAACCTTCGGTCTTTTAAAAGCCAATAAAATGTTCAATTAAGTAACTCGACGAGTACCGAGTGCCGACCCATGTACCCGAAATAATACACCTAACGAAATTAAAAGACCTCTAAAGATTTCCCCTCGCCCGTAATATTTTCGCAATGCTTTCAAAATTTAATAGCTACAATAACAATATTTTAACGTGATTTACTCATTTAGAATCTTAATGAATTTCGTGTTATACAACATCTCATTTACGTCTTTAATAATATGCATTCTGAGTATTAGATAACGCTCTGTGATTTGTATCGTTCGCGTTTTTAAAGATCATGTTTCCGTACGTTTTGTTTATAAATCAACCGATTTTTTTTTTTGGCTTTTCTACTTTCGCCGATTATTAATTGTCGGTCGTCGTCATAATATTCAAATAAACGTTGATATATACGATCCAATCAACGCTCTTTATGGCGTTATTTGGGTTACATATTTTTCATCTACATCCGTGTGAATGACGATTAAATATTGTGACATTCGAATGCTAAACGCAAACCGATTTTTAAAGTTCATCATTAATTAATTCGAAACCCGATTCGTGATCGCTCCCGATAAAGAACCAATCTAGTTTGATAACACGAAGGAAATTAATTATTATTATAATGAAGGAATCGTAAAATCAACGACCGCTTTCGGGGCATATCACATTACCATATTTCGTCTAAACTCGTTTAAAGCCTTACAAAGTGACAAAGGAAAGTCCGTACGAGTGTGGAATGCCATATATACATATTTATAAAACACAATGTAGGTAGGTGCCGGTGAAATCGACTCGGAATTCTGTTATCGGCATTTAAGTTTCGGTGACCGTTTGACCTTCACATTTAAAGCGGTCGTGTATACACTGGCATCCTGATGAATGAATTGAATTCACAATTGAGTTTTAAAATATTTTTAGTCATTATAGATCTCGGAATAAAAAGAAGCTTAATCTATACTAATATTATAAAGAGGAAAGATTTGTTTGTTTGTTTGTATTGAATAGGCTCCGAAACTACTAAACCGATTTGAAAATTATTTTCACTGTTTAGAAATTACACTATTCCCGAGTGACATAGGCTATAATATTTTTTGAAAAAAATTAGGGATCCTTACAAAAACTCCAATAATGTAACCCAAGGTGTAAAAAAATTACCGAAAATATTCTTTACATCGCGTGCCCTGCGAAAATTATTGATGATAAAATAAAATTATGTACTACGACTTTGCAGAACATTATTATTTTCGAAAAGTGTCGCGACAGCATATTGTCTAACTATTATAGTTATGCCGCAGTAAGTGTTCTTTTATTTTAAAAAATAAAACAACGTGAATTATTGTTGAAATTTTTGTTAAAGACCCGAGCGGAGCCGGAGCGGGCCGCTTGTAATAATATCAATAGACAGATTGTGAATTACATTTTACAACCAGAGGACTTTATTAACAGTGATAATGGTAGTCCAGCTAACAGTAAAATAGCTTTAAAATATACTTAAGCAATGTTTAAATTCTAAAATATTGTTTTTTTTATAGCTTAGATGAATCGACGAAGTCACGGCTTCATTGGTGTTAAGTGGTTATCGTAATTGATGCAGGAAGAGCTATTTACTGTGATTAATAACTTTAATTTGGTAATTTTGTATAGAAACAATCTTTCATTAATCTATTACTATTATAAATACTGTCTTCGCATTTTTATCTTGGCTAATTTTTTAACTAATAAATTGTACATTTTTTTGAGAAATCTAATCACCTCACGAAATATTATGCTAATATATTATAATAATCGATTCACACTACTGTATAAAACACAAAAATGCATAGTGGGTTTTGGAGATAATTTAAATCCACTAAATCTATAAAATTATCATCGTGATGAAATTGTATGTCATAAAAGATTTGAAAAACATGATAAGCCCTTACCTTATAGATTCCATCGACAAGTTTCGTAAGCTCCTCCGTCTCCATGGCTAAAGATTTTCAATAAACTAATATAAAAACTGTAGTTATTACACGGGAAACTTCATCGGGATAAACAGTGTACGCACAAACAAATTTCGACTTTAACACTTCGCGCACATAATTCACATTTCAATGCACAGTATACTCGGTGGTATATCCCTCGTTCGCTTCTCTAATCACTCAAGCAAACAAACTCACTTTCGAAGACATCTGAAACAAAGAAAAAACACAATTAACTTTCGGATATTTAAACAAAAGTGTTCTAATTTTGAATGGTATTCTTTTTGGTTAGTCAGTTGTGAAGGCGGGAATCTAAATAAATGTCACTTTAAAGTTTTTTTTTTTTTGCACCTGTTTTTTTAAGATGTTATCTGTGGAGCGGAGCGTGCGTCCGGCGCGAGAACTATCTGTGTCTGTAGAGTCTCCTATCGCCTCGACTCCGTACGAACGACGATTGTACATCGTGGAGGCATGCTAAAGAACTTAAGAGGCATATTATGAGATCATTACGTACCCGTCGATGTCAACGCTATGTTTACGTGCATGAATTGTGGGTTATTTTATATTAAACACTTCAACATAGTGGATTATTGTGACACTGTGGTTCTTTATTAAAGGTTGAAATAGGTTGTCATGAAACCAGAAACAGTCACGAAAATATGAATTCCAAACAAAAATGGAGCTTCAATAGTTTTTAATCGCAAATTATAAACTAACAAGCTTTTGCCCGCGACTCCATCCGCGTGGAATAGTTACTTTGGCATAACGTTAAATTTTACCCCCACTTCATTTATGTAGAAAGTGAAAATATTTTTGAATTATAGAATATTAAGAAAGCTATTTAAACCTCTATTATGAAACATTCTTTATTGGTGCTCCACTTGTATTGGTCTTACCGTGGTGTTATATAGCCTACAGCCTTCCTCGATAAACGGGTTATCTAACATTGAAATAATTTTTCAAATCGGACCAGTAGTTCCTGAGATTGGCACGTTCAAACAAACAAACTCTTCTGCTTTATAATATATAAACTAATAACCTAATTTTCTAAACTCTTTATCTTTATCTAACCTAATTTAAGTGTCAGCATAAGTAAGTGTAAGTTACAAAGAAAGATTTTAGAGATTAAAACTATATGACAGATTTTTTATTGCCCTTGTAATTGTAATTCTAATTACTTGTAATTACCAACTAATAATTTAATTTCAAGGGCAATATTGCAATCGACATGTTTAATAAATATCTACATCCAATTTGTAGGCAGGTGGTTTGAAACACAGTTCCGTTCACATTTGGTGATTGTATCTACCTAATTAAATTCAGTCGGTTACTAGACGAGAGTCTCGTAAACCTTTTTTTTTTTTTTTTTTTTTTTAACGCTGGGGAATCCATTTACGGATACCCGGTCGAGAGGTTAATAGACCGGGTTATGTCGGACTCCGGCGCCTCCAGAGAAGAAGAGGGAGAAGAGGAAGACCAAAGTCCTCCTCTTCTTCCAATTCCTACCGGGAGACTACGCCTTGAAAAAGGCGCGCGAGGCGCTGCGCGGCGTCTACCTAAACTCGTAAACCTACGAATACTATTAATTAAGAAAATTGGGCAAAACACAAATTATCTTGATCGATATGGAAATGTCATGAATATTAATTAGAAATTCATCAAATGAATAACGATCGTGTGAAAGGAGAAACAACTTTAGTAACATGATTTATTGATATAGTTTTAATTAGTTACAATATCGTTCACTAATTAATTAAAAAAAAAAAAAAATTACGATAAATTTGAACAGATATCCACCAAACATTATATACGACAATAAACAAAGTACTGTTTGATACTTATACTTTACGCTTTCATTATTTACACCGCCTACACGGCAAAGGTAGGATCGGAATCGCCCACTTTAAATAATATAGATTGACTTATTCACAATATATTGAAAAAACGATTTGTTAAAACTTTTACTTTCAAAACGATGCTACAAAACAATTCAAAATGCTAGAGAAAATATCCTTAGTTACATAAAGAGCAACACGAAACGCGATTATCATAATCATAATATTATTATGCATAGTTCATTTCCTCAATTTAATGAAACTATCAATTTAAACATAATGAATGGCTTGAGAATTTATAAACATTGCTAATTAAGAGTCTAAAGTTATGCAAAAGTTTTAAACTAATTCGCGATGGAACAACTCGTTAAAAACAGAGCATTTTTAATTATTTACATGGATAGAACGTAGTTATGGTCTCATTGCTGTTCAATGGTGGAGCTCATAGAAGCTCACCATAAGAGATAAACTCAAAGTTTCTATTGTAGCGTTCTCTAACTATTATACCAACATTTTTCAATCATCAATCGATATTTACTCAAGGTAGGTAGGTTATTGTAAGCATGCACGTATCCTGCTTATTTCTGCCACGAATCACGCATTCGTTTTGATTAGAAGGGTAAGACAGACGTTAAACAGTAATCGACTTCATGTCTCAAGATCGGTGGTATTGTAATACCTGGGGGTACCAGTATCCACTTTACAACAGTTAAAAAAACATGTTAAGCTCTACCACCAGTTCTAAAAAGAGTCATGAGAAAAACTCTCGAAATAAAAATCGGCAGGTTTTTTTTACTAAGTTACTCATTTTGACATTGACATTTGACATGTCGATAAACAAAGGCTGCCTACAAAGGCAATAAAAATAAATAAAAACAATGACACCGCCTTAAGCACTGAAACTATGATAGCCAAAAATATTTAATTTCAAAACAAAAAAACACGTTTAAATAACAAACCGAAATAAGCAATCTGTTGATTCTGGTCAAGTTATTAGAACGAAGTTTAAAAATTATTGCATTATATGTCATATGTCATAGGACTCATAGGTATTACAGGTATAAGCGTGTGCAAATTGTCAAGTCAAACGGACATCTTGTAGTCAATGAAAATGACTTTCAAAGATTCCGTTACATACAAACAAAAATATGTATATTTTGTACATCGTCTTCTCGCATTAAAACTGTATAATCTCAAAACTTACTAATTTTACAGGAGAGTGTTTTAAAGGTTTAAAATTAATTAATATTAATATTAAAGGTTTTTTAACACATTAAGTGCTTACCACTCGTATCCGAGTGGGGAGGGCCCTATTAGCGGTGCCGCCCACTCGGATACGAGTGAGCAGCAAGTGAATTTTGTAGTTGTCATAAGCCGCCGGCGATTGTGGCGAGTGTACGTTGGTTTGCGTGGCCACTCTGCCAATACATTCGACTTACGAAAACGCGTATTGGTTTTATATTTACAGTTTAATAGTGACTGGTACACACGATCATATCAAAGGTATTGTTCGATCAAAATGGATAGTAGGGCTGGGCCATCTAGAAGTAAAAATAGATCGAAAACATCAACACCTAGTAGTAGAAAAAAACGTTGGTTGAGTGATGACTCGGAAGGTTCTGAAGGATTTAGTGATGAAGAAGTGTGTTCGCAACGAGCTCAGGAGGAGCAGTTGTCTTCAAGTTCAGAGGAATCTAGTTGCGGCAGTGATGACAGTATCTTTAATACAAGACTGAAACTGAAAACGCTCAGCCGTGGACCACCAGCTCAGACTTCAAGGTCATCTGCCGCAAAGACGACGAAAAATTTTGTTTTAACTTTTCTGTGAAGAATTCACCTTCAGTGTTTTAATTAAACTTATAATTATGATTTTTATACGTTTAATTGTATTGATAATTATGATTATATCATTGCTTCGCTTAGATTTAAGACATTTATGCCTTCTTAAATAAATAACCATTAAGTGCGTGTTATATTTTAAATTTAAACTTATAATTATGATTATATCGTTACCTACTTTGCTCAGATTTAAGATATTTATACCTTCTTAAATAAATAACCATTCAAGTGCGTGTTATATTTTAAACTTAAACTTATAATTATGATGTTTTTGATACTTTTGATTGTACTCGGATTCGAGAAAACACCTTTTTCGGATCCGAGTGTCCGGCATTTGGCGTGCTATGTGCCGACCACTTGGATTCGAAAAAGGTGTTTTTTTATTAAAATAATAATATTATCAACATACTTTCATCCATATTTTTAAACATACATATATACTTAATCAATATACGCTATAAAAATAATTGGTTTCTGGCTAATAATTTTATATCATTTCGTCGGCAGCAAATGTGTTAATATTAATCATCTTTGTAACTTTTTTTTTTACCAGTTACATTATCTGTCTTTTAAAGTAAGATAAAATTATGTATTAATTTTGTTAATAGTAGTCAAAACATAAGTAAACTAAAAAAACTAAAACTAAAACTCAACTACGCTCTTTTGACAGTATTTATGAGAAAAATACTGGTGATACCAAATGTTTATGCATATTAACTCAATTTCGAATATTTTTGGAAATGGTACACTTTTAATGCGAAAAGGCGATATATACATAACGAAGCCAATAAAAACGTGTTAAAAAGATTCGGAACGGCAAGCAGCCCGAAAACTTTGTCCGCCGCATGCCGCCCGACGAGGAAAATAAAAATACAATTTCACTGTGTATCCGTAACTTCGTTTCGAGGAAGAGATTTGCCGGGGCCCGCGACCCGACGACCTTGCATATGCATCCATTTTGTAAACGGTTTCGTTTCGGCTTTATTTTTTCTCTTAGCCCGAGGCAAGCGGTACTACTGTGATACGTCTGCGTATTTCAGTTCGAACTTACTCAACTACGCTCCGAATTGTCTGATACGTATTCCGGAATCTTTATCTCTCCTCGTAAAAAAAAGACTGCTGGAATCAAAATGTATTGATTGCTTTAGATGCTTTTTACTGGTGGTAGGACCTCTTGTCCGTGATGCAGTAATGCCTTTCGGTTTGAAGGGTGGGGCAGCCGTTGTAACTATACTGAGACCTTAGCCTTCATACCTCAAGGTGAGTAGCGGCTTTACGTTGTAGATGTCTATGGGCTTCGGTAACTATTTAACACCAGGTGGGCTGTAATTTCATCCAATTATCTACACAATAAAAATCTACACCGAAGGCATATTTAATTACTAACATTATTTTTAATGTTTGCACTGTAATTTCGGATTAAGAAAATAGTAACCTAGGCACTAGACTAAAGCGGTTGTAAATAATAATCTCACACTAAGACGAGAACCCGTTGTAATGGTGAATATAAGCAGAAATCGGCTCGTTCGAGACGCGACGCCTGTTCTGCTGACGAACCTTGTTATCCAAATATGATGCGCTGCACGAAGCATGCATATTCATGGAGCTCTTGTTCAAATTTTCAATGGTAAATTTAATGCAAATATCTCGTCATCTCTAATATATGCTGTCGAACGCTCATATATATTTTAAGGATGATGTCCTTTAAATAAGATCCCTCTTTCTGTCTTAAAACCCTTTAGATTTAATACTTTAATCATTTGTTCTGTCAGATTACTACTTACACTTACTCC